GGGAGGCTAGGTCTGTTTCCGGCCGCCCTCGCAACATGCAGGTGTGCAATGAGCGATGGGCCCAGACCCTTGCCCCATAGGATTTAGACCGGCGTGCTGACCTCTCTGTTGTGCCTAGGTGGGACTGCGACATGTTGATCTTCCGAGGCCGGGCATGACCTAGGAAAGTGTGTCTGGCCAAAGGGGATCGAGCGTGTTGGAAAATGTGGTGCACCCCTGCAGGGAAGTTTATCTATTCGAATAGCCGTGTCCCTCGGTAAAAGGGCGACCCGGAGTTGTACCTTGACCTTATGACAACTAGAACTAGATACTTAATAAAACACACCCTTTCAAGTGCCAGATACAACCCAGTGATCGCTCTCTCACAGGGCGACGAGGGGAGGATCACCGGGTAGGATTATGCTATACGATGCTACTTGGTGAACCTACCATCTACTCTCTTCTACTGCTTCAAGGTGGAGGCTGCCAGAAGCATAGTCTTCGATAGGACTAGCTATCCCCCTCTTATTCTGGCATTTTGTAGTTCAGTCCATAGATACTACCTTTTTCATTGATACCAATGCATATGTAGTGTAGATTGATACGTCTCCGTCGATCTATAATTTTTGATTGTTCCATGCCAATATTCTACAACTTTTATATACTTTTGGCAACTTTTTATACTATTTTGGGACTAACATATTGATCCAGTGCCCAGTGCCAGTTCCTGTTTGTTGCATGTTTTTTGTTTCGTAGAATATCCATATCAAACGGAGTCCAAACGGGATAAAAACTGACGGAGATATTTTTTGGAATATATATGATTTTTGGGAAGAAAAATCCATGTGAGACGATGCCCGAGGGGGCCATGAGTAGGGGGCGTGCCCCAGGGGGCAGGCGCACCGTGGGCCCTCATGGCCACCCCGTAAGGCGGTTGATGCCCTTCTTTCGCCGCAAGAAAGCTAATATCCGGATAGAGATCGTGTTAAAATTTCAGCCCAATCGGAGTTACGGATCTCCGGGAATATAAGAAACGGTGAAAGGGCAAAATCAGAGAACGCGGAAACAGAGAGAGACAGAGAGACAGATCCAATCTCGGAGGGGATCTCGCCCCTCCCACGCCATGGAGACCAAGGACCAGAGGGGAAACCCTTCTTCCATCTAGGGAGGAGGTCAAGGAAGAAGAAGAAGGAGGGGGCTCTCTCCCCCTCGCTTCCTGTGGCACCAGAGTGCCACCGGGGGCCATTATCATCACCGCAATCTTCACCAACAACTTTACCGCCATCATCACCAACTCTTTCCCCCTCTATGCAGCGGTGTAACCTCTCTCTTACCCGTTGTAATCTCTAGTTAAACATGGTGCTCAATGCTATATATTATTTCCCAATGATGTATGGCTATCCTATGATGTTTGAGTAGATCTATTTTGTCCTACGGGTTATTTGATGATCGTGATTGGTTTGAGTTGCATGTTTTATTATTTGTGTTGTCCTATGGTGCTTTCCGTGTCGCGCAAGAGTGAGGGATTCCCGCTGTAGGGTTTGCAATATGTTCATGATTTGCTTATGGTGGGTGGCATGAGTGACAGAAGCACAGAACCGAGTAAGTAGGTTGTTTGCGTATGGGATAAAGAGGACTTGATACTTTAATGCTATGGTTGGGTTTTACCTTAATGATCTTTAGTAGTTGCGGATGCTTGCTAGAGTTCCAATCATAAGTGCATATGACCCAAGTAGAGAAAGTATGTTAGCTTATGCCTCTCCCTCATATAAAATTGCAATAATGATTACCGGTCTAGTTATCGATTGCCTAGGGACAAATAACTTTCTCGTAACAAAAAGCTCTCTACTAAAACTAATTTAGTTGTGTCTTTATCTAAACATCCCTTACTTTTTATTTACATGTTCTTTATTATCTTGCAAATCTATCCAAAAACACATACAAAGTACTTCTAATTTCATATTTGTTCTAGGTAAAGCGAACGTCAAGCGTGTGTAGAGTTGTATCGGTGGTCGATAGAACTTGAGGGAATATTTGTTTTATCTTTAGCTCCTTGTTGGGTTCGACACTCTTACTTATCGAAAGAGGCTACAATTGATTACCTATACTTGTGGGTTATCATAGATCCTTGCTTGCGAGTACTTTGGATGGGTACTCACGGTTGCTTTGCTCCCCCCTTTTTCCCCTTTCTATACCTGGTTGTTGCGACCAGACGTTGGAGTCCAGGAGCCAGACGCCACCGTCGACGACGACTCCTACTACGCTGGAGGTGCCTACTACTACGTGCAGGCCGCTGACGACGACTAGGAGTAGTTTAGGAGGATCCCAGGCAGGAGGGTTGCGCCTCTTTCGTTCTGTATCCTAGTTTGTACTAGCCTTCTTAAGGCAAACTTGTTTAACTTATGTCTGTACTCAGATATTATTACTTCCGCTGACTCTTGTGTATTCGAGCTTATGTATTCGATCCCTCGAGGCCCCTGGCTTGTAATATAAAGCTTGTATTATTTTAATTTGTGTCTAGAGTTGTGTTGTGATATCTTCCCGTGAGTTGTTGATCTTGATCGTACACATTTGCGTGTATGATTAGTGTACGGTCAAATCGAGGGCGTCAGAGGTTACAGAGTAACTAATTATGGGCCAATAGATTAGAGATTGGGGGAGGTTGGGGCCCATCCCGGTTGAGAATCTGGGAGAGAGTAAGATTAGTTGGAGGAGCCTGTAAAAGCCCGTCACAAATCTGGATTATCGTGGTTCACTACTCACTCAATCATTTCTTTTAGCAACTGACGGGGATGAAACTTTATTATTGAAAGGAGGAAAATATGTACATGGTGACATGCTTGGGAAATGGGATAAGCTCGAACCTCTCTAGGTTCAGCTAGACTGCATGCCAATTACTCATGGTTCTGGTTAACTCTAGGTCTAAAAGCTAAAGCCCTCCACATGATGTCTTCAAAAGTTAGGCGAGAAATTACGGTATATATGTAATTCTCGTGTCATTTAAGATGGAGCAATTTCTATCTTTCCAGACATCCCATCTCTTTTCACTAATTAACCGTAAGGAGTCATATATATAACTAAATAGATGATCTCCACTAAGTTATTTTTTAACATGTAAATATGTCACCTCAAGACACAATTGTACATGGAAAGTACTTTTATGCAGGTTATCTACAGATGTACCAGGACTCTTAGTTTATGGTCTTCTCTATAACGCGTGGAGAATCAAGACCTGTTTACAGAGGTGTGTACACGATTGAAGGCTACGGTGAGGGATAGCAAAATG